ATTTTCTTCTTATAAGTGTAGAAAATAAAATCAAAGACAAAGAAAAACAATAGAAAAGTTTTTTTTCACCAGGGTTACCCCTACACAAACATCTGGTGAAAATTTCATGTCATTAGCACCTCTAGTAATATGTTTACTGAGAAAAATGGTGACGTGTTCAATACTTATTTTACCCACTGTATTTTTGCTCCGGACACTTTTTTTTTTTTGTGAGCCAAGGAGCAGAAATGTCTCTTTTGATTGTAAAGGTTGCAGACCCCTGTACTAGATAAACATGGGTCAAAAAGTTTCAAAAATAAAGTGGCATTTCATTTTATCTTCAAATTTTTAAACTCTCTTAAAGACCTATTATCTGTACCTCTCTTTGCAAAATAGAGAAATCTCAACTCATGAAGTATTCTTTTGTCAGTTGTGCTGGTGTTTGGTGACTTGAGAGCTTATTTCAGCAACCTATTCTCCTACTTAGGCAAAACATATTGTTTGCCACCATATCAGACACAACAGCCTTGTTGTTTCCTGCCCCCACCCCCTCCCGTCCTCTTGTTAATAACAATATGACTTGTATCCATGGAGCAGCAGCACTACGTACAAGTCCACTGTTATTTCCTGAGCAGTGAGCAGGACTGATAAACGGCAGTGATTTGTTCAGTGTTTGACAGTTTGCTTATTTCCTTTTTTCCTCAGAGGGCCCCTCATCAGCTAATTTCAACATGGCAGCCACAGAAGCACAGGTCTTTGGGGAAATGTCATTTTTAATTAAATCCCAGGTCCTTTTAGATAAGCAGTTAGGCGTTAATTTCACCCAGGGCATGACGTTGTCAGGCACCCAGGAGCGTGACGTATGTCTGTCAAGATTATTCATTATTCAAAGTCTGAAGCCCCCCCTGGAGCAGTGGTTCGAGCTGTCACCTCACAGTGATAAGGTTGCAGGTTCAATTCTTGGTCTTTCTCTGTGGAGTTTGCATGTTCTTCCCGCGTACACATGGATTTCCTCTGGGTACTCCAAGACTAAACATCAGACTAAAAACATGCAAATGAGGACATTTTGTAACTCAAAATACAGCTTTTCTCCGAAGTTTCTGGCCTTGAGGGATGGGGTTTGTTTTGCTTTAATTAATAGAATGAAATTTCTTATTTAAAAATAACATAAATAGTACATTTAAATACATTAAAAATGAATTTACGAAATGCACAGCTTTTCACGAAACATCCAGGTTAGGTTTTGTGTGTATGTGTATGGTTTTTTTCTACAATGTGGGG